AGGAGTAAGACCAGAGCAGGCATCATGGTTGTCACCGAAACCATTTATACTACTCACGTAGCCCTCAGTACCAGCAGCCTTAATTTCAGCCTGATTAAGAGGGTACCAGGCACTGTTCAAACGGAGATCACGGAAACAAGTATCACCAATGCTGGAGCCAGAGGGACGCACTTCATTACTGGCCAATGGCGGACTGTCAGGTAGGAAATCGCGTCTTGCACCTATTAGAATCTAAAATATGATAAATGTCCCTCTACTAAACTCACAGGATTTAATGCATGAAACCTCTAATTTAGCTCAGATGGAAAGTATTCAATCAGACTAATAGCTGATGAGTTCAGTCTTAGGCAATAAAATTGGGGGAAATTGTCAGGATACAAAGCGAACCCTCTACTCCCTTCGTCTAATTAGCTGAAGCCAACAATGCAATTGTCTACAGTCCATGGCGATTTGAAGTCCTTTGATGAAGCTGATGTTGAACACACTTTTTTTGCAAAATGACTGTGATCGCTTGGTCACTAATGTTGTGCACACCCTAAGCGGCAAGAGTCCGTAAAATTTGCGTAAATAATTCATGACTTTTAACAAGTGCGGATAAGCTTGGGGGCTTAGGGTTTGAGGAAGACTTCGCCTTACCAGACTTTGGCGATTAGGCGACACATTTGTTGAGGGGGCACAAATTCCCCCTAAGGCGATAAATGTGGGCTTTGGTAGAGTTTGAAATATCAGCCATTTGACACCGCCGCCTCCTCTACTGTTAAAATGTCCTAGTCAAATTTTTCTTGTGCCTTTTTCCAACTCTGGCAGCATATTTGCATTGTACCAACATCATGTTGCCATTGGGTTAAAGCGCTAGTGTAGCTTAATCATACAAGAAGCTAAAAACAAAGTTCTTTCAAGGCAATCCGGAATTTAAAAGTTGCATTTTATGAATTGGACCCACATCGTTAACCAGGATCGGTCAATATCGTTCACCTATCCTAGATGACCTTACGATGATTAATATGCACCAGCTCTCCAAAATTGTGTGTGTGTGGAAGACTATTTCAGGGTCTTGTGCAAGCACCCAGTAAGTCACTCCCTGATAGAGTACTCTGTTTCAGCTGTAGCAGCGCATTTACGCCAGTTGGGATGATTTCGAGGGCCTTTTGAGAGCACACATCATTTGAACTCTTTATCCTGAAGGATTCAATCACACATTACCGAACAGGCTTTACTGTAAGCTCTTTATCTGGCCTTTAAGAGCTCCATGGTTGGAAAGACATTTCGTTTATCCTTGTATGACATGCACGACAACTTTGCAATTAATAACGTCTGTAAATAGGTATGTCATGTCTGGATTCCCCTGGATTCCCCTTTTCAGCATGCATTCTCCCTCAGAAAAGAAAACTATTTCGAATAAAAATTGAATATAATCCTCCCACCTCCAAAATCTTCATGCACAAGAGAAAGGTTTTATTACGACCCATCCAAGTGCCATTTTACTAACATCGTTTAGATGGAAGTTGATGGATTGCATGATATTGCATGAAGCAAATTCAATTGGATGGTAAGGTGAGCCCACCTTTGTTCCAATAGAGAACTTGAGAAAATTGGAAGTGGGATCGAGAGGCAAAAAGGCAGAGAGACCGGGGCCACCTCCTTCGTCCACTTCGGCGAGAATTGCAGTGAGAGATCGATGGACGCGCACATGATGCCAAGCTCCGTCATTCAAGTGAGTACGCGCTGGTGAGACAGTGAGGACGTCAAAATTGCCCATGTTGACAGACACTTCCAATCGCGTTTTGGAAAGTCGAATGTCCATCGAGGAGTTACTAAAACATAAAAAATGTTCAAAATGATAGTTTCACACATTGGTCCATTAAAGATTGCTTAAGCAGGCAAGATGTTATGAGTGTCTTCTACTTGCCGTAGGTGATGAAGATAAGTCGGTGAGGAAATGAGTTCCATCATTTTATTGCTCTTCACTTGCGTTGCAACATTCGTTACTTAGATGGGGCAGTTTGTTGACCCGGTGAGGCTGACTGATGGACTGCCTTACGGGATGGAGGTGGCAAGTAAATCTCGCGAATTTAGTTTAACAGTCTTGAGTTAAGCGATTATACTACTATTTACCTTCGAACGATTCACCACCACTCAGCTTTTTTGTGCATTTCTGAGGCACGCAACCTATCGCATTTATCCTGTGCTTTTGGGCGGTTGGTTGACGGCAGGAAAGATCACTCACGAAGGGCAGTTTGTGCGCTGTCTAGCAAACATTTAAGACTGGAGTATTTTCACCCCACACAACACAAACTCAAGTTGTGCTAGAAACTTCCTCTTCTTGTTGGCCTTAAGGAATAGTCGAACACTGTTGCCGTATTTTAATAAATGCAGCACAGAGATGAACTGCACTGCATGATGGTATTCAATGAGGACACTGTCTCACCTTCACTATCTTCCCAATCCTTAGCAGTTCTTCATGCCATTTTTGCTACTACCACAATGCAAACTAAAGTGGAAGAAGGCATCCAAAACTAAGGTTTTGACATTTATAAACCAAATTTTCCTTAAAAACAATTTAATGAAGTAAAGTGGCCAATCTACACACATTAAAC